TTTATTATTATTATTATTATTATTATTATTATTGTGGCTGTTATTATTATTTTATTATTATTATAGTGGTGAGAGTGAGAATTGGAAAAAAAGTAATATAAGACCGAACGATTGGAAACGACGTAGGTAGAGAGAGGGGGAGGGGGATGGGGAGGGGAGGGGAAAACCCCCATCTCCATTGGAGATGCTCTTAGCGCAACAAAAAATCAATCCTAATCCTAAGAAAAGAAGAAAAAAGTAAAAGGTAATAATTAAGGTGGTGATGGGTGAACAAATTTGGTGTAGGGACTAGGGTGCAATAAAAATAACATATAAAGGGATAATGTGCAACAAAAATACTCAATTTCGATAAATAATCCCTCATAACTTTGCTATTCGGACAATGTGCATTGTGCAATAAGAATAATATTTTGAAGGGGATTCACTTTTAAAAATTTTGAGGGGGTAAAGTGTGAAAATTAAAAATTTACAGGAGGGTGATGTGCAATTTGCCCTTTTATAAACCCTTTTTTGCCACTTGAGGTTTCGGGTCTGACTTGCCAGCCCGGTCAAAGGCTCAGTTTGACTTTAAAAAAATACAAATTTACGATTTTACCCATGAAAAAGTGGCCTGTCTCGGGACACTGCTTATGTACTAATCGAGTCAATTAAAAAGTCCATCAGCCAAATATCATAAATACATAACAGTTAATGTACCAAATTGTAAATAATGTGTTTTTACTTATTATCCAGAAAATCCAGAAACAAAAGAAAGGGGGGATAAGGGGGGAAGCCGAGAGAATTAAACCCAGTGAGAATTGAGAAGAAAGATCCCAAATCTCAATGGGCTTCTCCAATTTCAGCAGGTAATTAAACTTACAATTTTTCTTGCATAATTTCTATGTTTGAATTTAAATTTTTTTTTTTCAAATTTTATTGATTTGTTCTGCAAATTGACATTTATTTTTTGTTTTTCCTCAGCTCGTGCTGCAATTATTCCCCCATGGGTGTTGGCTGGAAATCGTCGAGCTTGTTTGCGCCGCGGAATTTTCTACCCATTAACAATTCCAATGGAGTTGTTTTTTCTCAGAATCAATCCCAGAAATTCATTTCCCCACGCGCTTCTGCTTCTTCCTCCGGTATCTTTCTTCCCCTTTTGTAGTGTGTGTGTGTGTGTGTGTGTGAAATTTTGTCTAATTCAACCAGTTATTTGAGATGGGCTGATCTTTAGAACTTTTGTTGTAAATGCAGCTAAGCATCACTTATGCAGAGTTGACCCTGTATTTTGAGTGTTTATTTCGATAATTATATCTGGTTTATCTTCGTCGAATTTTGCAAAGCATTTCATTTTCGGAAAATAGGTGTTTTGGGAAAAGAATTTGAGTAAAATGAAAGTGAATATGTTTGTTTGAATTTCGAGACGGGACAATTTCAACAGTGAAATGTGTCTACGGGTGTTGGGAGAAATGTATTTCGTATCTCCGAATTAAATTAAAGAGAGTATTTTCAAATCCCAAAGAATTTGAGTCCCAATTCGGAATGCAAAACAAACACGAATTAATTTTGGGGGAAACGGGATTTTTGTTTTCTTTTTTCGAAATGGTGCCGAAAATTGCTGTTTTTGGTATCTCATCCTAAAATGAGTACAGTGTGAGAGCGAACGAGAACGAGAAAAAAACGGGTCTTACTTCTGTTATCGAGTCGGGTTTCGAATACTATACAATACCTTCTGAGAAATTTCACCACAAACTAGAGAAAGAGAGATCATTGAACTTATCCTTTCGCTTATTTTCAGATCCTCTTTTGGTCAAAGCTGCGAGAGGGGAACCGGTCAACCGTCCGCCCGCATGGATGATGCGTCAAGCAGGACGGTACATGGCGGTTTACCAAAAGCTCGCAAAGAAACATCCGTCCTTCAGAGAGAGATCGGAGACAACAGATCTCATCGTGCAAATCTCATTGCAGCCTTGGGAATCTTTTCGACCCGACGGAGTTATTATTTTCTCCGATATACTGACTCCACTCCCTGCATTTGGTGTTCCTTTCGATATCGAAGATGTGCGGGGCCCGGTTATACAGTCTCCTATTCGTAACGAGGAGGATTTGAAAGCTTTGCACCCGATAGATTTGGATAAGTTGAGTTTTGTCGGAGAATCTCTTCGGATACTGAGGAATGAGGTTAGTTTAGTCTTTGCTCTGTCGCGTATAATTGGTTTTCTGTACTCATCTGTTAAGGCCTCGTTTGGGGATTGTTGGTTTGATTGATGAGATTTGTGTTGAAGAATCTGAATCACCCGCCATTTTTTCTTCTCCTTTCGAGATTTCTGGTTGTGAAATTCCTATCCTACCCCTCTTCTTTACACCTTTAGATGTCAGATTCGGTTAATTATTTTCTTTGTGATTGAAAATATGTTTCAATGTTTTGTTACTCGAAAAAATTTCAGTTGTCTTTAGGGCTTGTTTGGTAGGTAAGATTAATCATGATTAAATAAAAAAAAAAAAAAAGAATAGACCTTTTTTATGTTGGGTTATTCTATTAAGTTTTTCGGGTCTTGCAAACCCGTAATTATGAAGAAAAAATGAGTTATCTTAATTTATTTAATGGGAAATTTAACTACATAATCGGGTTCTCATAAGATTACTAATCCTTGTATCGAGTAATATCCTTAATAGGATTGTCAATTGAGTAATAATAGGCGTTGAGTTTGGACTAAATATCCTTCATATTCTTGATTAAAATCGTTGAAACCTTGATTATACTGTCCTATCCCAATTCCCAAACGAGGCCTAAAAATTTCATTTCTAATTTTTTTTTTCGTTTTTAAGGTAGGGGAAAAAGCAGCAGTTTTAGGGTTTGTGGGAGCTCCATGGACAATAGCTACATATATAGTCGAAGGAGGTACAACTCGAACATACACAACAATCAAGGGCATGTGCCACACAGCACCCGATTTGCTAAGGGCACTTTTGTCTCATTTGACAAAATCCATAACCGAGTACATAGTCTTCCAAGTCGAATCCGGAGCTCATTGCATACAGATATTCGACTCGTGGGGCGGCCAATTGCCCCCCGACATGTGGGAAAAGTGGTCCAAGCCTTATATCAATGAGGTAGTTAGCGAGTCGCATTTTCATTTTTTTTTAAATTTTGAAAATTTAAAAATTTGAATTCTTTTTTTAAATTAAAAATAAATAAATAAAAAATGTTTTAAGTTAGTTTATTTACGAGTGCAGATAGTGAGAGCGGTTAAGCAGAGGTGCCCTCAAACGCCGCTTGTGCTGTACATAAACGGAAATGGTGGACTTCTTGAAAGGATGAAAGGAACCGGAGTTGATGTGATTGGGCTCGATTGGACGGTGGATATGGCCGACGGAAGGAGGCGCCTCGGAAATGATATTAGTATACAAGGAAATGTGGACCCCGCGTATCTCTTCTCTACTCACTCTGCCATAACTGACGAAGTTAAAAGGTACGTACAATAAAGCAAATTATGAGACGCACTCGAATATGATTTGAAAAATGTCCGATTCTTTATGCCTCTAGACTTGCCGTTTGAGTACTTGTAGATTAAAAGTTTTGGCTTATTGCATTCAACACCCCTGTGTTTACTCTAATTGTTAAAAAGTCTCGTTGTGTGATTAATATTAGCAAACACTCCCATATGATTCCATTTTTTTTGGCAAACTACCCTCTAAAAACTCACCATTTAGGAGGTGCTATGCTAAAAAAAATCATCGTATGGGGTTTCTTTTGCTAATATTGAAAATATGGGGGCTTTTTAGCAAATTTATATAACGTTGGTTAGAAATGCCGTGGTTCGTCAAATAATTGAGTTTTATATAGTATTTGGTTTATCCTGTAACTTTTCGAGCCGACCCAATTTTGTTTGCTAATACAGGTCCTTAATTTTCGTAGTATAATATAACCATGCAAATAAATATATTATCTTTGTTAAATCCCATTGCGACAACCAAACGAGGCCTTATCCAATAATTATCTAATCCTCATGACTTGGATGGTACAATATAATCGGGGTTTATTGCATTCAACACCCCTGTGTTTACTCTAATTGCTAAAAATGTCCAAGTATTAATAATATTAGCATTCTAGCAAACAACCCCCTAAAAAATTCAACCATTTAGGGGGCTGCTTGCTAAAAATAATGCATTATCGAGGGGGGTGGTTACTAAAATTATTAATATTAGGACTATTTTAGAAATTCAAAATAATATAGAGGTGCTAAATACAATAAACTCGAGAAGAGTTACTTAACTTTGACAACTCTATTTACGAAGCTCATAAAATTCATCGGATTTTTTCAGGGTCGTAAATTGTGCAGGGAAAAAGGGCCACATACTAAACTTGGGCCATGGAGTTCTTGTCGGAACCCCAGAGGACGCAGTGGCTCATTTCTTCGATGTTGCAAGAAGCATCAATTTTGATTCCCAATTCGAAAGTTATCCAGTTGGCGAACCTAATATGGTAGCTTGAGTCGATTTTTCGTCGCAAAAAAATTGTTTTTTTTTTCTTCTTTTTTTTGTATAAATAGGCTCTTCTTTTTCAGGAATGAGTAAATTAATAATCTAATTTTTTTTGCAGCGTAGTGTTGTAAGTTGATATTTGTCGTCGTGTTTCGAAGTTGCATGGTTCTTCTGTGTACTACTTGGTAATTGTAAAGCCTTTTCGGACTGTGTAAATGCATTCTCAGACAAAATTGATTTTGATTGGAAAATGTGTAGTTAAATTTCAGCTCCAAGTACAGTAATTTTTAGTTAGCAGATACCGACGACGAGTCTCGGAACAAAAGCTAAATAGCTTATATCCCGAACCGAGGAATTGAACCCGTAACCTAATATAACCCTTCCCCCCCCCCCCCCCCCCCCTATATCGCTCGTGGAATGCCGTTGTTGTGTATTACTTTATATATATATAACTATATTTTTTCTATCTAACTTCAAATAATTAGATTGAATGCTGTTTTTTTTTTTTTTTTTGTTAATGAAGGAACCCGCAACCAATCATATAGGTGCACTGGATAAACCTACACTCTCGTATAATAGCTTGCAAACCATATACGAGACGTAAACCATACTAGACTAACCATGGTTTTACACGGACATGTATATATATTTTGGTTCCTCTCGACATCTTATAATAATGGCGAGGCCTAATTCCTCCAAAGTTAACGCGTACAAGACTTCAATGCGGGAGTAGTGCTTGTTCGAAATCGGCAAACATTTACGCGATCGGCCATTTCTAATTTTTCAGCTTTATTATAATTAGAAACAAATTTAATGATTTTTAGGTGAAAATATTTAATTCCCTCTTCTACTTCGTCTCTTCATTCTTCTCCGGCCAACTTAATACCATCGCAAGCGCAATTATAAATACCCCGAAAACCCGAACGAAAAATATTCACAAAACAAATCAGAAAAATTATCTCGTTTCAAGTATATATATATATACACAATTGCCGAATCTATGGCGGCTGCAGTTTCTTCATCTTCACTTAATAAGGTTGGGTATACATTATCGATGATGATTTTGCTTAGCTTGTTGGTGATAATAATAACAGGTCCGGCCGAGGTAGAATCAGCCGCAATCACGTGCAGCGCAGTTGTGACGAGGATCACTTCGTGCATCGGTTATGTCCAAAGAGGCGGTGAGGTGACACCTGCATGCTGCGACAGTCTGAAATCACTGAACGACGAAGCCAAAACAACGGCCGATTTGCAAGCCGCATGCAGGTGTCTCACGGCGCTTATACCTAGCGTTTCGCCTAACCCTAGTTTGATTAACAGCCTTCCCGATAAATGCGGCATCCCTTTTCCGTACCGATACACCCCATCGCTCGACTGTTCAAAGTAAGAACAATATTATTCAACACTGTAACAAGAACAAAGCTTTCTCTTTCACACACACACACACACACACACACACACACACACATATATATATATATATATATATATATATATATATATATATATATATATATATATATATATATATATATATATATATATATATATATATATATATATATATATATATATATATATCTATATATATATATATATATATCTATATATATATATA